AGATAGATAGGTATCTGAAACAAAATTTTCACAAAATACTGCTCACTCTCATGTGTGATGCACTTTCTATTCATAATTTTTAAGATTTTAATGGGGAATTGGGGGAGGGGAACAGACAAGTTGCTGTCCTTTTTGTCCTTCAGTCTAGTTGTGGAGGACGTCATCGCTTCACTGGTATTATCATTATCAACATTCACATGTTGGTATTATCATTGCACTCTTCCCAGGAGAGGCAGCCACTCGCTGGCCATTGGACAGCAGCTCACGGAAGCAAATGCCAGCTGCCAGCCAGCCCCACTGCAGCCTACGCCGTCGCCAGCAACTCACCGCAGTACAGCTCCAGGTCAAACTGTTGTTCACCATCTTAGCTGTAGAGGGCGCAGCGTCACTGGCTCACATGTGGGATCCGAACCGAGTTCCTGCTGCTCAGAGCTGGCGTCCCAAGCCAACTTAACCAACGTGCCACTTGGCCGGCCCTCTATTCATAATTTTTTAAAATGCTGATTATGGCTTAATAATTTGAGTTCTTGATCCTTGATCTGTGGTTTGGATAAACACTCTCTCGGCCCTCTAGGTAAAGTAGTCTGGATCCCCGTGGCATAACCCTCCCCGTCGGGCTCCATCTGCCTTTCCAGCCCTGCTTCCTCCTTCCCTCTCTAGCTCAGTGGCATAGTCAGCATTTCCTGAACCTGCCTCACACTGTCCCATCTCTGTGCCTTGACTCTTACTGGTCCCTCTCCCTGGTGCCCTTCCCCTTTTGTTCCTGTTCCTACCTCTTGGTCCCATAGTCAAGCATATTGCCCATTGTACCATTAGTATGTTGTATCTGTCACTCTTCAGAATTGCCCATGATGTCAGGCATCTGTCTTAGTTGTACCCAATTCAAATGTTACTTCTGATTTCTGGGTATACTTTTGGCCAGTTTTTCCAATTTTTTCATCAAGAACCTCGATAAGTACCTTTTATATTGGATCTAGTGTATACATTTGTTGTATGTACTTATATGAAACATAAATAAGTTTCATGACATAATGCCCATACGATGTACACTTTGATATTTTGTATTCTTTTTTATTTATTTTCTTCAACCCATAACTTGATTTCAAAACCAAATTGAAAAACACTGATTTAGGCCAGCCTTTCCCACTCTGAATGATATCTACAGAAAGCTGTGTTACAAACCTTTGTATTATTATTTCCATAACACTGTTATAAGGAAGACTTGAGGACAGGTCTGTGAAGTTAAAGTGAATAAACTATTGGGTTGCCGTAAAAGTCATGATGTATTTTTTTCTATGTTTTTCTTGCAAAAATTAAATGTGTCATGACTGTTCCGACAGCCCAATAGATATAGTACATTAGAAATACATAAAATTACTGTATGTTGTTTATGGATGCATACATACCTATACACATTTGAATAAGAGACAGCAACTTCAGATACTTGCTTTGGTAAAAAGGGAGAAGAAATAGGATCGGTGGTGGTCTTTGTTCATATCCTTAAAATTTTGCTCTGAACAATGAAATAAGCAAACATGGCAAAATGTTAACATTTGCTAAATCTAGGTGGTGGGTATAAGAGTGTCTCCTATATTATAATCTTTTTCCTTTTTATCTGAAATATTGTATAATAAAAAAAAAATCTCTGAAAAGAAAATTGACAAATTATCTGCTTATTAAGCTCTATTATCTTGCTATCTAAAAATGCCATTATTATCTGGCTCCAAACTACTTCTGTGAACTGCGGGATGCTTTAGCCATGACCTGTGGTCCCCAATTTATACTCAGACCTAGTCTCTTGTACTTAGATGCCGATTTGGAGAAGGAGGCTATAATTTATAAGTGTTTACTGGACAGTGTTTGCAATGAGTTCAGGTAACACTTGGCCATTTTCTAGGCAGGGCTGAGGAGGAAGTCTTCCTGGGTGAGGCTGTTTGCATTTTCATATGGTGAGATATTCTTTTTTCTGGATTAAGCATTAGGTAGGAGGCCACTTGACCTTAAAAGATCCAGGGATATTAGAACCAGAGAGATGATTAGATCACACAAAGACTTCAGTGGCAACCAGAGTCCTATAGACTACTACAGTGTTCGGGCATCACTATTTTCCAAAAAAACGTACCATCATTTGTAAGATATTTTTTAAAGGGTCTGCCACTCTTGTACTATAATGGCACAGTCACTTGTTTCAATTTGATGTCCAGTCCTTGTTTTCAGTCACTTTTCCCCCATTCTTTGTTGCTATTATCATTGCTTTTTTTTTTTTAAGGTTTTATTGGGGAATTGGGGGAGGGAACAGCGTTGGGGAATCAGGGAAGGGGAAGGGGAACAGACAAGTTGCTGCCCTTTTATTCTTCAATCTAGTTGTAAAGGACGTCGCTTCACTGGCCCATGTTGGTGTTGTGATCATTGCACTCTTCCCGGGTGAGGCAGATCGGTTGCCGGCCATTGGACGGCCACTCACAGCAGCTCATGGCAGCTCACAACGGCTGCCGGCCACTCACAGTAGCTTACAGCAGCCCACTTCAGCCCCACTGCAGCCTATGCCGTTGCTGGCAACTCACAGCAGCCCAGCTCCAGGTCGAGCTGTTGTTCACCATCTTAGCTGTAGAAGGCGCAGCGTCACTCGCCCCCATGTGGGATCTGAACTGGTAGCCCTGCTGCTCAGAGCTCGTGCTCCAAGCCAACTCTTAACCAACGAGCCACTTGGCTGGCCCTATTCTTTATTTTTTTAGAGTGGTTTTAAGTTGACAGAAAAATTGAGCAGATAATACAGTGTTCACCTCCTTTCCCTTGCCCACAGTTTCTGCTTTTTTTTTTTTTTTTTAAGCTGAGCCATCCTGCCACCTGTTGGCAGCTTAGCGGCAGCTCAGCTTGGGCCAGGAATTGAACCCCTGTTACTCAGAGCTCACACACTTGAGTGAGCTCTTAACCAACTGAGCCACTCAGCCCGTCCAGTTTTTGCTATTCTTAAAATCTTGCATTAGTGTAGTACATTTGTTATAATTCATGAACCAATATTGATACTGAAATGCATTATTTACATTAAGCCAATATTAATTAAAATCCATTGTTTACATTAAGGTTCATTCTTTTAGTTGTACAGTTCTGTGGGTTTTGGCAAATGCATTATGTCATGTATTGACCATTACAGTATCATATAGAATAGTTTCACCACCTGACCTTTCATTTTTATCTCTGTACTCCAGTGCCTAGCACAGGGCTTGTAAATGTTATGTGAATATGCAGTAATATCTAAAATTAAATATGAGCAATCCAATTCAATAATATTTGAAAAAACATTTAAAAAGTCTGCCACAACCAAATAGAGCCTATCCTAGGAATAAAAGGATGGGATGGAGATATATATATATATATATATATATATATATATATATGTATGTATGTATGTATGTATGTATCATTAGTCTGTTAGATAAGAAAAATAACAATATAGAGAGAAACTCAGAATTCAAAACATATCCCTGATTGTCAAAAACCTGAAAATTAGAATGCTTGATTAACATAAAAGAGTATTTCAGTCTAACAATCAACATTATGTTCAAAGATGAAACACTAGAGGCACCGTCTAATGGGAACAAAACAGGCATAGCAGCTCTATTATTTTTTCATATAATTCTGGAAGTTTTAACTAATGTAGTAAGATGAGAGACAGAAATAAGAGTTTCCATTTTGAGAAAGACTCATTGAGACTGTAGAAATCTCTCAAAAAACAAGTAAAAATCTGTTAAAATCAGTGAGTTCAATAAGATAACTGAAGGGCCGGCCAAGTGGCTCATTGGTTAAGAGTTGGCTTGGGAGCGCCAGCTCTGAGCAGCAGGGCCACTGGTGCAGATCCCACATGGGCCAGTGACGCTACGCCCTCTACAGCTGAGATGGTGAACAACAGCTCGACCTGGAGCTGGGCTGCCTTGAGTCGCCTGCGATGGTGTAGGCTGCAGTGGGGCTGCAGTGGGCTATCGTGAGTGGCTGGCAGCTGGTGTGAGCTGCCAAGAGCCGCCATGAGTGACCATCCAATGGCCAGCGACTGATCTGCCTCAGCCGGGAAGAGCTCAATGATAATACCAACATGGGCCAGTGAAGCAGCATCCTCCACAACTAGACTGAAGAACAAAAGGACAGCAACTTGTCTGTTCCCCTTCCCCAATTCCCCAATTTAAAAAAATAAAAATAAGATAACTGAATAATAATAAAGATAGCAAAGTGAAAAGCTTTTCTATATATTGGAATAATTGATTTGAAAATTAATGGGATAAGCTTGCTATTCATAAATAGCAAGCTTAACAAGAAACATGTAGGGCTTGTTAAAAAAAAAAGTCAAGGGCCGCCGAGTGGCGTGATAGTTAAGAACTGGCTTGGGATGCTAGAGGGCCCCGGTTCGGATCCCACATATGAGGGTCAGTGACACTGCCCTCTACAGCTAGGATGCTGAACAACAGCTCAACCTGGAGCTGGGCTGCCTTGAGTCCCCGGCGACAGCGTAGGCTGCAGCCCCTGTGGCAGTGGGTTGCCATGGGCTACCGTGTGTAGCCAGCGGCCGTCCAGAAGCTGGCGACTGATCTGCCTCGCCCGGGAAGAGCGCAATGATGGTGTCAACTTGGGTCAGTGAAGCAACGTTCTCCACAACTAGATTGAAGAACAAAACGACAGCAACTTGTCTGTTCCCCTTCCCCCAGTTCCCCAGTACTGTTCCCATCCCCCCAATTCCCCAATAAAAATCTTTAAAAAAAAAAGGTAAAAATTCTACTAAGACAAAAATCTACTTAAGATTTTTATCTTATTATTTTAATAGTAAAAAGTTGCAAACAACATAAATGTCCATCCACCAAAAGGAGAATGGTTGCGTATTTATACCCCATCCTGTTCCAAAATGATTTTAAGGTAGTTTCACAATATACACTATGACATAAAAATAATTGAAGAACTTAGGCAACAAGAAATTTGAGGGATACCACAGATTTTATTCTGAACTTTCTAGTAGCCAATGTAAAGAAATCATGATCAATTATATGATTCATATTCATATCATAAAATACTGAGCTGTTTGGAAGAAACAGCTGTTCCTAGCCTAGTACTGAGACCAAAGAGAATTTTCTCACGGGTCTCCACAAGAAGACACTGTGCCGAGTAGAGAATGATCATTTTGACAGTGAAACAGCCCCGACTTTATAGAAAAGAGTTGTTTCTTATGAAAGTCCTTGCTAATGAGCCCCATAGAACCAGTAAACAGTTTGGTAAGAGTATTTGCAGTTAGGCGAGGAGTGTGTGCTGGTTATGGCTGGGAAAAACGTGAGCTGCTTCAGTGCACTGCTCTGAGGGGCAGCTCAAGGGGGCAGTACATTAAAGAGACTGAAATTGTGCTTCTCAGCTAATGTTGTGTCACCCTGGTGTCCTGTGAATCTTCACTGATTGACCACTGAGTTTTTATTGGTGTGTTACATTTATTGCTATAGCTGAAGGTCCCCACTGCTAAGAAGTCTGTCAGATGGTGATGTGGGATGTGAATGAAGCAGCCACCACGGATTCCAGGCAGGGAGGCAAGAGGTGCCACTTAGGCTGGCACTAAATTTAACGTGGAAGGACTGAACAGTCTGTAAATATTCTCTCAAATTAGATTTTGGTAAGTACTGTGGAGAGCAGGTAGGCTGTGTCTGTCAGATCCAGGTTCATGTGCTTTCGTAGTTGACTGATGAAATTAACAACCTCTGATGAAGGTTGAGAAGCCTCATGAGGTGAGATGCCTGACTAGGAGGCTAGCTTACCTAAGGATTTTCCTCCGAAAGCAGTTTGAGGCTTGATCCAACGCATGCTGGAGAGGACAGTCAGGTTTCGTATGTCTACGTAATAGAGCTTAGCCACATTAATTTTAAATTTTGAAGAATTGATTTTTTTTTAATGAATGGTACCAAACCTTGACCTAAGTAACAACAAAAAATGTTGTAAGGTATCCATATAACTTCTTGGTAAATCCTTCAAGGTAAATGGTGACTAAGTAGACTAACCAAGGTGGTTTGGGAAGGTTTGGAATCTGTGTCCCAGCCTAACCTCTCTTTGAGCCTCAGGTTCTTCATCTGCAGTATAAAGATATTAGTACCCACTTTAGGGCTAACCAGTTGGTAAGATTTAAATCAAATAAAATCCCCGGTGGCCTCCTTTAAGCCCTTTTGTGTATGTGCCTTCCTGTCCAGTGGTGAGTGTTTGTTATAGAGTGTCCTTATTAACGACTCACCGGAAGAGTGAGTCCTGTGTTAGCTGAGACCCAGTCTAGATAGATAAGGCCTTTTACATGATCAGATCGATTGGTGGGGCAGTCCGAGTCTTTCCTTTCAGGTATCTGAGGTGGAATTTTTAGAAGTTTTAAGATGACAAAAGTTTGAAAGCCTCCTTTTCAGCCTTGTCCTTCTCATCCTGGTCATCTCTCAAGTCCAACCACAGGAGCAGGTGCCAGGTGATAGCCGAGCCAGGGGTTAAAGACAAAGGGCAGTTGTCCCAAGAGTGGTCACACCTGGGCAACTCCATCTCATGCTCCTCTTTACTATTGAGTTGGGTACTCAGATAAGCTCTGAAGATTTTTCCATTTGACTTTATACCCACAGGAAAGCTGTTTATCGTGGCTCCAAGAAGACCCTGCCCAACTTGCTCTGGTCCTAGCATTTAGGTTCTTAGAGAAATTAATTTCATAATATGTAGAAAGATCACAGTGTGAAATGTCCAAGAAAATAACGAGATAGGAAGAATGTAGATGTTGGTGAGATCAGTGCCTCCCGCTAGGAAATCAAATCCATGCTTCAGGGAGTTGGCTGTGTTACCTCTTCCAGAGTCGGTTTTTGTTTTCGTTTTCCTCCCCTGAAAGAAAGAAAAAAGGCCTAAGATATGGATTGTGGGAATAGGGATGATTGCAGACTAGAGATACCATTATCTTACCAATATTAACCACCTCTCAGTATTTTGATATTATAACAAAGTTTCTATCTCTTTTTTATTATCAAAGCCCTTTCCAGCAAGGCAAAGAGGGAAAGAGAGCTCCCTGTGGCAGTGTATAACATACACATATATTCATATATACATAAACACATGCATATTATATGTGTATATCTATACAGACAAATACCATAACAGTAATATAAAGGAGAAATTTTAAAATATAAAATTTATTCTCGTGTAAATGTTTGGGTATGACCATACTGGAAGGCATAAAGAAGTAATTAGAAAAAAAAAAAGAAGTAATTAGGAGCTTTTACCAACATGCAGAATCACCTAGAATGTAGACTGTCAGGTGTATTAGCATTATTCTCAGTGATGTGGTGCAGAAATGGTGAACACCTCTTGGTAAAGAGCTGAACAAAACAAAGTAGGATCTTTCTGTGATTTACATGGAAGTTCCCTTCCTAGAAAATTTAGCATATATTAAGACCATGTTAAAAAATACTTTGAGTTTATAGGGACTAGGCTGAGATAATAAATATTTAAAAGTCCCATGGCAGATCTTCACTGTGCAGAAACTGCCCACTAAAAAGTTTCAGGACACCCAACATGCCTGGCTTCTGCAAGTGGCACTTACTGATCATGACAACAAAGACCTCAGAAGATGGCCCTGTCCCTGTTGGGCTAACAGTTTTTCACGGCCTAGTCAGCCAGGTGGAAAAGCATAGAAAGGCTGGATGGCCTCACCCAAGGAGCTCAGATCATTGGACAGGCTTGCCACTGGGAGTGATGTTTCTTGTGGCTTAGAGAGTCCCAAAGGCTGTTGGACACTGGTCATTTTTTTTACCTCCAGTTTTGTGCTGTAATTGATACATGACATTGTAAAACTTTAAGGTGTACAACATAATGATATATGTATATATTGCAAAATGATTACTGTAATAAATCAGTTAGCATCTATCACTTCACATAGTTACAGTTCTTTTTTTCTGGTGATGAGAACTTTTAAGATCTACTCTCAGCTGTTTTCAAATATACAATACAATATTGTTAACTATAGTCACCATATTGTACATTATATCCCTAAACTTATTTCTCTTATGACTGGAATTTGGTATACCTTTTGTCCACCTTCACCTGTTTTCCCCACTCTGGACATTAGTCATTAAAATGACTATTGGGAGTAGATGTCTTTTATTTATTTATTTATTTTTTTTTTTTAGCTGAGCCATCCTGCCACCTGTTGGCAGCTCAATGGCAGCTCAGCTTGGGCTGTGAATCAAACCAGGGACCCTGTTGCTCAGAGCTCAAACTCTTGAGCGAGCTCTTAACCCACTGAGCCACTCGGCCAGCCCTAGATGTCTTTTTAAAGGTGCTTTCCAACCCTAAGATTTTCTATTTCTCAAGAATAATGCTTTTAGGCTGGCCGAGTGGCTCAATTGGTTAAGAGTTTGCTCAAGAGTGCGAGCTCTGAGCAACAGGGTCACCGGTTCGATTCCCAAATGGGCAAGTGAGCTGCGCCCAAGCTGAGCTGCCGCTGAGCTGGTGAGAGCACGTGCTCCTACAACAAGACTGTTTGTTCCATGGTGGGCTATGCCCGCCTGCAACTAAAGACTGAACTCCGGGGCCGGCCAAGTGGCGCATTGGCTAAGAGCTGGCTTGGGACGCCAGAGGGCCCCGGTTCGGATCCCACATATTAGGGCCAGTGACACTGCCCTCTACAGCTAAAATGCTGATCAACAGCTCAAGTTGGAGCTGGGCTGCCGTGAGTCACTGGCAACAGCGTAGGCTGCAACCACTGCTACAGTGGGTTGCCATGGGCTACCGTGTGTAGCCAGCAGCCGCAGTGAGCGGCCGTCCAGAAGCCGGGGACTGATCTGCCTCGCCCAGGAAGAGCGCAATGATGGTGCCAACTTGGGCCAGTGAAGCAACATCCTCCACAACTAGACTGAAGAACAAAAGGACAGCTACTTGTCTGTTCCCCTTCCCCCAATTCCCCAGCGCTGTTCCCATCCCCCAATTCCCCAATAAAAATCTTTAAAAAAAAACAACAGACTGAACTCGGCACCTTGAGCTGAGCTGCTGCCTGGATGGCTCAGTGGATACAGCATGTGCTCTTAACAACAAGGCTGCTGGTTCGACTCCCACAATGGATGGTGACTACACCCACCCGCAACTAATTGAATACAGCAGCTGAACAGCGCGACTGGACTTGGAGCTGAACTTGCTGCGTCCCCTACAACTAAGATTGAAGGACAACAACTTGGCTGTTCCCCTTCCCCAATTCCCCAACACTGTTCCCCTCCCCCAATCCCCCAATAAAATCTTAAAAAAAAAAAAAAGAAGAATGCTTTTGACTCTTATTGGTTTTGTTTTAATAAGAAAATAAAGTTGCATTAAGAAGTGTTAAATAACAAAGATGCTTAGCACCACTATGACTATTTCCTGTGACTCTTTCCATTATAAACCCTCTAGCTAAGTAGGCCAGTTTTTTTGTTTAAGCTCAGCCTCCTTTGACCCCTTTCCTGTGGGGAGCCCCCACTGAGCTGACAGGCCCTTACCTCCACTGACCAGTAGAACAGCTGCTGGTCAGAGAACTGGCAGTCTTTGCCAATCTGCTCAGTCTCAATAGAAGTCTCCTTCTTAATTTTTCAGTGACTATTTTTTTCCCAGCATCACATATAGGATACAAAGAGAGTGTATGCAAGTTTTTGTTGTTACCCTATTTGATTCTCTCTTGTCTTAGAAATCAACTCCTAAAAGTTTAGAATTGAATTTTAACTTGTCTAATGCCAAGTTTTATTTTTTTATTTAAGGCTATTTCTGATGCTTGGAAGCTATCCTTTCAGCCACAAAGATGGTAATAAATCTTTGCCTTCCACAGTTCAGACCAAGAATTCACTGCAACAAGGTAAACAAAACAAGCATATACACATAAGTAACGCATGATATCTATTTTTCATGTCTCCCCCCATTTCCTTGTATGGTGAACTTCACTCAGGCTTAGTGTGCTTTCACCCTCATTATTTTAGATTCCACCATACAATGTTTAGGTAAGCGAGGGTCAGGCTCTACCTCTAGAGTCAGACAGATCCATTATAAGGCGAGCTGTGACTCGTTGTGTGAAAGGTGGCATCGTTGTGCTTTTCCCTGTGATGACAAATTTTAATTCCACTCCAAGTCATAGTGAAGGTAAAAATTCTCTCTCCCGCCAGTTCTTGTAACTTCAAATGCTAGAAATAAAGGCTTGTATTTGTTATTTGGGTTCCTTGGTCTTTATATGAATTAAGCTGTCTCCCCTTTTGTGTAAGGAGGGTATCTTTCCACAGCTCAGAGCAGGGAATAAGGAAGTTCTAAGGGGAGAATTGAACCCCTCCCCTAATTCGGAGTTTCTACACTCAGTGTAATGCTTCAGGTTCCCAGATTGTTAACCTGACTCCCTTCAGACATAGATATCTTAAAATTTCCATTGGTTATAACAAGTATTAGAAATATTAAAATGGGAAAAATCCACTGTTTTAGATTTCCCATAGTTTTTTATGGTCCTTGTACCTGTGCACATACATATTTTTTAAACCAACTTTCATCATTCATAGATGGTTTGTTATACCTTCCTAGGGAATCTTATTATAGTGGGTAGTCCAAATACAAAATTGAGAACTTTAGTGACCACCTTTGTTTTTCCCTAAATCTGCATGTTTTCATCTTCTGAAATAAAAACCAATAGTATATATGTCCCCTCTTCATAGGGATGTTATTTTGAAGGGGTTTTGGTTGGGATGGGCAGAGTTTTGTTGCTCATATTTTTTTAAGGATGGGCAGTACTTGCGGACACAGTTGCCCTCAGCCTTCGACTTGATCTTGGGTGCCTGCAGAAAAACCCAGGAGAATTCGATGTAATACAGGAAATTTTAAATGAGGTACTTCAGACTTTAAAGAGTTTTCTTACAAGTGGCAAGTTCTGGAAACTAATTGCCTTTTGGATCTCATCAAATCAATGTGTCTCGTATTTGTCATTAAATCTAGATATCAGCTGATGGCTATGAAGTAGAAAATCTCATCTCCGAAGACCTCACAAAGAGAAGTCATGGTTTTAGGACCGAGTATTTTATTAAGCCACCAGTCTATGTGACACTTTCCTTTCCCTTCAGTGTGGAAATCTGTAGGATTAACATAGACCTCGCAGCTGGGGGAGGCCAGAATGTCACTGGCCTGGAAATGTACACATCTGCCTCTTCCAGCAGAGGCTCTTGGACTACTCCCGAGTGCCGGACTCCGGGCCCAGCCGAGCCATCCCTCCCAGACAAGGAGGCGTTCACCTTGGTAGGCAAAGTCTTCTTGAAAAACCAAAGCCAAGTGGTGTTTAGCCACAGGGGGTTCAAGGCCAGGCCACCGTTTGGCCCAATGGAAGCTACACTCCCTTCCCCTGCTATTGTGGCCCAGGAGCTCTGGAATAAAGGGGCCCTTTCCCTCAACCACGTGGCCCATCTCAAGATCTGTATCACCCATGTGACAGGCGGCGGTATCCCTTGCATCAAGCGCTTGGAAGTGTGGGGTCAGCCGGCTAAAACCTGCTCGCAGGAGGTGATAGACAGTGTCCTGCTGGTCGCCTCAGAGAGCATCCCTCAGGACTTGGCTGTGCAGGCCCCGGCCTTGCCCATGGAGAGTGACTGTGACCCTGGGAGCCAGCAGACCCCCTCCAGCCTGCAGGAGCTGGCTGAAGTGATTCAGGATGTGCCTGAGGAGTTCCTGGATCCTATCACCCTGGAGATCATGCCTTGCCCCATGCTGCTGCCCTCAGGCAAGGTCATTGACCAGAGCACGCTGGAGAAGTGTAACCACAGTGAAGCCACATGGGGCCGCGTGCCCAGCGACCCTTTCACAGGGCTAGCTTTTACTCCACACTCTCAGCCCCTGCCCCACCCCTCCCTGAAGGCCCGGATTGACCATTTCCTGCTCCAGCACTCCATCCCTGGCTGCCACCTGCTCGGGAGAGCACAGACTGCGTCAGCAGTGACCCCTTCTTCCATTGCTCTGCCATCTCGGAAAAGGAAAATGGAGCTGGCTGAACATGCCCCAGATGGTAGTCTTGGTGTAAATGCTTCCTGTTTCTCTACCACAAGCCTTCTGGTCTCACCCACTACCTCAGAGCACACCGCTAAGAAAATGAAAGCTGCCAGTGAGCTTGGTCTGATACACATGGACTGCTCAACAGGTAATTCACCATCCTATGTCCATGCCCATTGTCATCTCTACTCCTCTTGGGTGACACTTAGCACTGATGCCCTTTGTTTTATGCTTTGCCAGCTTAAATTGTCCCAAAACTTACTGGCCTAAAGCACCATGCATTCATTATCTCGTGGCTTCTCTAGTTAGGAATCAAGGCGTCGCTTGCCTGCTCGTCTCCTTCAGGGTCTTCCAAGGCTACTATCAAATGAGTGTTGGTGGGGCTGCAGTCATCTTAAGGCTCAAATGGGGAGGGATTCACTTCCGATCTCACTCACGTGGTTGTTGCAGGATTCAATTCTTTGTGGAATTGTTGCACTGGGGGCTTCTCTTTTTTGTTGGTGGGCCGTTGGAGTCCACACCCAGTTCCTTGCCATGTGGGCCTCTCAAGGGCAGCACACAACATGGTAGCTGGGTGCACCAGAGTGTGCAAACAAGTTGGAGCTCAGTCTTATATAACCTAATCGTGGAAGTGACATTCCATCGCTTCTGCTGTATTCCGTTGGAAGCAAGTCACTCAAGTCCAGCCCACACTTGGGGAGGGATACCCAAGGGCACACGGACCAGGAGGTGGGGTTCATTGGGACCCTTTTAGTCACTCTTCCACACCATTGATTTCTATTTTATTCACTGCGTTTATCTAAGATTGATGGCTGAATTTTCTCTGATGCCTTTTCAATATCAGTGGAGATGAAATTAGGGTTTTTCATTGTTAGATCTTTTAATGTGAGAAAGGACATTAATAGGCTTCTTACTATTGAACCATTATTACATTCCTGGAGTAAACTCCATTTGGTCATGCTTCTTTTAATGGGCTGCTTGTTTCTGTTTGCTAGTGTTTTATTTAGGGTTTTTGTGTTCATCAGTGAAATTAGAGTGTCGTGTGTCTGTACACATGTGTGCTCATCATATTTGGTCAGGTTTTGGTATGGATGATTTATTTGCTTCATAAGACAAATTAGGAAATTTTCTCAGAAACAATTTAATAGTATTATTGACCCTTTACATATTTGGTATTATTCCCCATGATTGTCAGTGTCTGGTGCTTTTGGAGCTAGCTCTTTGACAACTTTTTATTTTTACTTTTGAAAATTCATCTATTTAGATTTTATTCTTTTAATTCCCTCTCTTACTCTAAAAGGCCTGTGCAAGCAGTGTGTTTAAAAGTTACATCTGTGTCTTCTTTGGTTTTGAGTGTAAATTGTAGTTAACAGGACCCCAGAAACTCCTGGAAGCATGTGAGGTGCAGTGGCTGAGGTGAGGAGAAAGGTCCTTAGACCCAGATGTCTATGGAGGTCTCCAGTGATGTTGGCCTTGACATATTTGTTGGTGACACAGGACCACACTGACCAGCATTCCTTCAAGGGCCCAAGCTGATGTCTTATGTTCTACAAACTATAGACAAAACGTCCCATTCCCCACTTTGTGCAGTTTTGTGAACCAAGCAGGTTCTTTGGGCAGCTCTCCCCCTTCCCCGTTGCATTCACCCTCAGCCCATTGCTTGGCCTTCTGCGGACCACACAGAGAAGGAGTGGAGTGGGCAGAATGAGGTCTTCATCTTTCTGTTTGGTAATAACTGCTTAGCTTTACCCAACAGAAGAGAGGGCAGAAACTCCTAGAGAGTGCAGGCCAACGGCCCTGCAGAATGGTGGGGGCCCCAGAAGGGAGGAAGGAGATGGGGAAAGAGCAGACAGACTAAGGCTGTGGGGAGGGAATGGGGTCGGGAGCAGGGGTACAAGGCTGGACATTGGCTTGCCCTGGTCATTTCTTTGGCCCGCAGGGAGACTTTCAGAAAGTAGAGTGCAGTTCTGCAGGTGAGCCACAAGGTGGCCCCTGCCTGCCCAGCAATTTGTTCTGGAGGAGGAAAGCTAGCACGGAGCCCAGGCATCCTGAAAGTGGCGTGGGATGGGGAGGAACTGCCAGAGTCCCCAGGTTTGAGTCCGGTATTCTGTCATCATAATCCACTAGGAGATATTGGGGAGGCCTTTCTTGACATTTGTGGATATTTAAATTTGGAAGCATCATGTTTATAGTCAGTAGACTTTGTGTTTTGGTCTTCTCTTTTCCTGAACCTCTCTGGATATTGTGGTCTGTGCATCTCTCGACAGAACCAGTGTCCCATGAGCAGAAGCTGTCACAAAGCCTGGAAATTGCCTTGACATCGACCCTTGGTTCCATGCCCTCCTTCACGGCGCGGCTGACCAGGGGACAGCTCCAGCACCTCGGCACAAGAGGGAGCAGCACTTCCTGGAGGCCAGGCACTGGCTCGGGTAACATGGGTCCCACCCAGCTCCGTGGAGCCCCTGAGTGGGATGCTGGGCCATGCCTCTGGGCTCTGTGGCCCTCCATGCCCAGTTCCTTAGCTCCAGTACCAGGCCTGGGGGGAGAGCCTGGTCTTTTTCCTTTTCCAGGGGGAGCCGAGGGGCAGCTTGTCAAGTTTTAACTCTTCACAAGAAAGGCTTTTTTAGTCAACTCTCAGTAATTCTGTGGACTTAGGGCTTGGCCACCCCTGCTGTGTTTTTTGGTAAGGTCTAATATTAATTGTTCTGTCCTGAGGACTTCTGTTTGTTTCTCCTCTTTAGTTTATTTTTCTTATCTAGTCTTGTCTCCCATCTGACATCTGGGGTACTTTATGTAAATGTGAAGGTTGGGGTAGAGTATGTTGTCTTCATCCCTTCCTATTAACATTTTCTTAGTCTTAGAAAAGAACAGTGGTAGCTTACTGAGCCAGTTTTGGCATAAAATGAACCTGGGCCCCACTGGATAATGGAGTTGATTAGGATACAAAGCGAGAGGACCCGACTTGGGATGCTGGACGCCTTCTCCCAGATGCAGCCTCGTGGGGCTGATGAGAAGGCGAACACTTGCTTCCTCCTGCCTGTCCAGAACCACGCCCTCCTCCTGTTGTCTGGGTCACAGGCCATCTTACCCTCCTGCCTCTGGTCCCCACCTCCTTATTTCCTGACTATGTTTGCCTTCCTGGCCGTTCCCAAGAACCTGTCTTGTCCAAATGACCAGCGATTTCTATGACCCTAAATATGATGGTCGCTTAGCCTCTCAGCATCTGATGTGGCTAACCAGCCCCTCCTCCCTAAACACCTTCTCTCTTGTCCTTCTAGATGTTCCGCTCTTTTTCTCCCTCTTTTCTTTTTTTTTTTTTTTTTAAATTTTATTGTTAGTTTCAGGTGTACAGAACAATGCAATAGTTATCCTTTTCACCCTCACAAAGTGACAACCCCCCTCCCCGCTTTTTCTCCCTGTTTTCAATGGTCCCCCTTCTCAGTGCCGACTCTTCCTTTTCCTCTAGACTCTGGTCCTGGAGCCCCTTCTCTCTGTCACCCAAGTGAGAGCCCACATGGCCAGTGACTATACATGTTCACCTGTAGCTCCCACCTCCCCAGCTCCCAACTCAGACCCCGACCTCCCTGGCAGCCGCCTGGTGCCGCCACGTGGGAAATTCACAGATAATTCTGAGAGAACATTCTAACCCAGAGCTCTCCAGAGGGCTCCCCACCGCCCGTCACCCCAACGAGGGTGAAGAGCAGCGTCGTCTACCTTTTGGTCAGGCCTGGAACGTGGCGGTTACCCTTGGTTTTCCCTCGGTGTCTTCACACTGACATTCTTCCTCATCAGGTCTTGTTCCTGCTCCTCCGAAGCAGGCCTCAGCGTGGGCCTGTGCCCCACGGCCCTCGCTGCCCCCCGGCCCCAGCCCTGCGGGCCCTGCCGCAGCCCCTCTGCTCCCTCAGGGCCACACTCGCCTTACCACAGCCGTCATCCTTGCAGGAGCCCAAGAGACCTTATTAACAACCAGATCGCGCTCCTCCGCTTCTTAGAATTCCTCCATCGCATTCCATTGAACTTGGAGGAAAGCCGAAACTCCTGCTGCCTACGCGGTCCTGCGTGCTCCAGCCCCGTCCCCTCCCCCATCCCACCTGGAGCTACACTGTCAGGCGTCACACCTGTGTCTCCTCTCTTCCTTGAATGGACCAGCCGTTCTTGGTGCTTGCGGTCGCTGCCCACTCTGGTGCTGGCCCCTCTTCATTCTTGTTCTTATGGCTCTTCCCCAAGAGGCCGTCCTTGCTCTCTCCAGAGGGATGTGGACTGGGGGAGAAAGAGCAGCCTCCTTAGGGAGGGGCCCCGAGGGAAAGAAGAAAGGCTGCAGCTGTGCGAGGGCAGGCTGTGGACCTGCCCACCTGGGCCTCCCTGGGGAGGCCCTGCAGGAGGTGTGGAAGGAGCGAAAGCCCACAGCACTGGACAGGGCTTGACAGGTGGGGAGGGCTGAAGAGAAGCAGACCCCAGGCTCCCCGGCAGCTCTGCCCACACAGACCTCAGCTCTGCCCTCTGGTGACCTCCCCCCCCCCCGTCCACCAGACTATTTTCTGCATTTTGCCATTCATGCAGTTTATCAAGGTTGTCAGGGTGAGCTTGTGCCTTGCTCTGGCCTTGGGAGCCTGTCCCAGGGGGAAGTACTTCTTGTTGGGAGACCAGGAGGAAAGGCCCAGTGCTGCCTGGCTGCCCTCAGAAGCCAGTTTTCTTGAACATTCGTGGGAGCGCCGAGATTTGATGGTCCAGGGGAGGCCTGCCAGGTTCCCAGGCTCTCTGGTGCCTCTGCTCCCAGATCAGCCAGAGGCAGCCTAGGGAGGGCTGCAGCCAGGCTGCTGAGGGGCTGCAGGGGGGAACTCCTTGTCCCACTCCAGGCATGTGCCCTGCCTCCAGGATGGAGCCTGGCAGGGGGCAGCTTTCCCTAACCCTGGCCTGTTTTCCTCCCTGATTTACCAGAGCAGCCTGGGAGCGTCCTGGGCCCCGAGTGTGCCTCCTGCAAAAGAGTGTTTTCTCCCTACTTCAAAAAGGAGCCCGTGTACCAGCTTCCCTGCGGCCACCTCCTGTGCCGGCCCTGCCTGGGTGAGAAGCAACGCTCCCTGCCCATGACATGCACAGCCTGCCAGCAGCCAGTCGCCAATCAGGACGTGCTGCGGGTCCACTTCTGAGTGACTGAACTCAACCTGAGAAGACCCATGGCTGGGAGGAACAGGAGTCGGGGGTCGCAGCTCCCCTGAGGTCCGGCCAGGTTCTAGTCACAGAAGGGCCTCTTTCCCAAGGGCTTTCCCTTTCTTGCCTCCCACAGTGTAGCACAGGCCTGGAGTGAGGGGTGGGGGAGGGCGCTCCACTCCTGCTCAAGCGGCAATAGGATAACAAAGCCATAGTTTGGGCTGGGAAGGATGGGGGAGATGTCCCTGCCCTCCTGTCCCTTCCTGCCCTCCCCCTGCCACCACCACCACCAGAGCCCTGGACCTGCTAGAGCCAGCCCCACCCTGCTGAGGGCCCCAAGTTATCTGCATACACTCCCTCCCCATGCTGCAGGGTGGATGTGCGTGGAGCACAATAGACTGTGGCTTGGGATCTCAGAGAGAGCCTCTGCCTTCAGTGTCACCCTAAAGGGGACCGTGGCGGGTCTGTGCAGTGAATGACTCAGCCCCCTACTGGCAGACGACGCTGAGCCTTAATAAAGTGATGGTTGACGTCTGCTGTGGGCTTCCTCCTGGCCGATTGCCTGTCTGTGTCGTCAAACTCCTGTCCCCCACCTGCATCCACGCAAAGTGGGACTTGCACAGGGCAGCAGTGAGCAGTCACCGCAGCCCTAGCCAGGCTGTAATTCAGGTCAATGGCCTGAAGGGACAAGAAGTCATATTTTCAAATGGGTGATGTGTGTGAGGGTTTGCAAGTGGGTGTGCACGGGTGGGGAGGGTTGCGTGCCCTCCCTGTGGCTGGCTGCTATCATGTACTCAGCTGCCTGGTGGCAGAGCTGGCCGCTGCCCCCTGGGAGGAAGGCACCTTTTCTGCCTGGGGCCCATTTCAGGAAAACTATTTGTTTATAGGCTGCATTTTTTTTTCCATTCAAAATTTAGTTTTATAGAGTCCCAGAGGGAAAATACATAGTCCTACAACTGTTTACTGTATGGAGTAGATTCTAGTCACTAGAAGAATGTCAGGGAGAAACTACACTGCTTTTCCCTTTCTGAGCGTGTCTGGGGAGGAGCAGGCTTCAGATTTCATCCTTGAAATTCATTCCATCATAAGCCCCTGTGGACAGGCCGTGGGGGCCCTCTAGCTGCCNCGGCCGTGCCCACGAAGCAGCCCAGCTCGTCCCCGCAGCAGATGCTGGGCCCGAAGCAGCGCCCTTTGCCCCCGGGGCCGCAGGGGAGGCACTGGGGGAACCGCAGGGCGTGAGCTGGGTGTCGGGGAGGGCGAGCCCAAGTGGGGTCGGGGGACACGTGGGGTCTGGTGGCTGAGTCGGGGCTCCTCTGGGCGAGGAGGGCGGACAGGGGAGCGCCCGGAGTTCGGGGTCGCTCTTTTGGCCCCAGACGCCGTCAGAGAAAAGAGCCACCATCTGCTAACTTCCCCTGGGTGTGTGGCCGCGCCCGGCGGCCGGGAGACTTGGGGCGGCTCAGCGCGGGGAAGGGAGCGGAGGGGTGGCCCTGTGGCTCGGGTTCCCTCCAACCCCAGCGCGGATCCACGAGGGCGCCGGCGCTCACCTTGCGCACGTCGAGGTCCAGCGCGGCCCTCTTGCCTCCCAGCGGGCAGTTCTGGATGTAGCAGGCGGAGGTCAGAGCCAGGAGGCCGAGCAGGCAGCAGGCGAGGCTGGGGCCGGCCATGGTGCGGGCGCGGGGTCCGGGCTGGCGGCTGCGCTCGGCTCTGCGGCCTGGCCTTTTTATGCCCGGGGCCGCCCGGCCAAGCACAGCCTTAAGAGGGCCGCCGCATGTCTGGTCACAGCGGGTCGCTGCGGGTCAGGCCCTGTGCCGCCCGGCGCGCCCCTTCATTTGCAGGAGCTGGCCAGGTCAAGGTCGCTGCACTGACTAATGGGCTACGGCGAAGACGGTGGGTGCCTCGCGGGGGAAGGGAGCGGAGCGGTGGCCTAGACCCCTAGAGGGAGATAAGGATATGGAGTGGGGTGTGTAAAGCCAAACCGAGGACTATGTAGCTGGACTCCCAATACCATGCGGGGAGGGTAGGTCGGACATTCGGTACCCTCCAGACCAGAAGCGGCTTGGGCAGGGCTCCCCCACCGCCTTCTTCACCCATCACACCTCTGTTACGAAGGCCTTTTCCTGAACCCAGATCTCCTGAACCCACGCCTACCTCCCACACCAACACCCACTTTCCTGTACTTAGAACTTGAATAGAAAAAGATCTTTATTTCTCTAACTTATAACTGAAATTCAGCCTTTCCTCCAGCTATGAGGTAGGCAACAATCCACAGGGGAATTTGCAATGCTTGTGGCTTGGTCACAACTCCAAATGACAGATAATCTCCTATCACATTACAGCTACCGAAAAGGTTGCTAAACGTTGTTTGGACCCACCATCACTTTGAAATTCTGGCGGTTATTGGCCCTGCTACTGGATCTTGTTTATCTTACACTTTATTTTTTTTATTTTTATTTTTATTTTTTNAACCAACGAGCCACTCAGCTTGCCCCAAGTAAAGCATATTTTTAAAATGGACAAATGCTCAGCCATGTTAAATGCTGCTAGGGGGTTGTGTAAAATAAGAACATAGACATGACCACCAACTTTGGCAATATGGAGGTAATTTATGACCTTGGTAACAGGAGTTCAGTGGACTGGTTTGAGGTGTAGGAGACATAAGGGTGGAGAAGGTATGAAAAAGTAATTTTGGAAAGGGAACATATAAGGGAAGTATAGAAGGGGTGTGAGGTATCTGAAGGGCCCACGTGACATGTGAGGTAATATATTTACAGTGCAGCCAGTCAGCACGATGAGACTTTTTCCAGCCTGTGTGGATTCCAAGAAGGTGGTATTGGGAGTAGCAGGCCCTCTGGTGTCTGTGCGGAGTTGGGGTTTGGGGTCTTCCAGGGACTCTGGTGTGGGAGGCAAGACAGAATGATGACCCTGGTAGACACAGCTCATCAAGACATGGGTGTCGTGGTCTATCCTAGGGCCTGTGCCCTTCAGTTAGTGTAGCCCATCTGTTCAGATGGGAACTCAAACCTGACGTGCCGAGAGGTAAGGTGCTGGAGTCAAGGCCACACAGCTGGCCTAAGCCAGACCTCTGGCCTCCCACCCTACCTCCGGGCCTGCCTTCCAACCCACAGAGACTCAGGAGGGCAACAGTTCAGACCAAACTTCTTTCTCGGTCATGAATGAAAGGAAAATGTTCCTCTTGGGTTAACCCAGGAAGATATTCTCTCTGGAAAAATCTCTTCAGCCCTTAAGAAGAATAATGGCATTAATAATACAATACTACCTGTAATTAACTTTACAATGATACAGGCATTTTTTTAAAGCTCATATGTTGCATGATTTCAGTCCTCACAACAGCCCTATGAGGTGTGTGCTAGTAACTTCCCTACATTTCACACTGGAAGAAAGTGAGGCACAGAGGGACGAGTGACATGCCCGAGTCATGATGTTTCCAGCAACAGTGACCAAACTCTAACAGACCATTGGGCTCCAGCGTTCTCACAGTTCTGAGTGTGGGAGGTCCCCTCCCTGGGACGCTGGACCCCTCAAGGCACTTGGCGGGGAGGAGGCAACCCTGTCTCCCCAGAGCTTCCTTGTAGGACCTTGGAGGAGACCAGAGCTTGGGAGCTGGATGAGCTGGGGGTTGTGCAAAGCCTAAGAGGTAAGGTGGCTGGCCTGGGTCCGAGGGCCAGAGGGGCACTATGGTGGCCTGAGGGAAGGGAGGCTGTGGCTCTTCAGCCCACCAGCCTGGGGTCATGAACCAAGGCTGCTTTCTCCAGCTGGGTCCGTTTAGCTGTGGCTCCCTCCCTCCCCCAGCCCCCAAAACGCTGTGCCTCTACCCCCACCCCGGGTCTAAGATGGTGCCTGCCCTGGTCCCCACAAACGAGGGTATTGGTGGGGGTAGGAATTGGGGCATGCTGGCTGTCAGGTTCCACGGGGCTCTCCCCCAACCTTTGAACCTCACTTGGTCTGGATCTCCTTTTTCCTATAGAAGTTCCCCCACCCCGAGGTTCCTGCCTGGGAGGGGAGAGATGGAAACCTGCCAGGAAGCTGTCCCCGAGGCCCCCAGTCTCTGAGTTCCTGGACTTTGCTCTGGGTGTGTGCATGGGATGGGAGCACCCCAGCTTCCCCCAGGAGCCTGTCCCACCCACCCTATGGGAACGACCCCCCAATTCCGTGTTGGTCCCTTGCCTCCATGACTGCGGCTGCCTGATCCACAGGGCTGCAGGCAACAATTTCCTTTCATGGTGCAGCCAGTACAAAGCCCTCCCTCCGCACCGCCCTGGGTGTGTGCTCTTCTCGGAGACTTATTTTCTCACAGGGCCAACCCTCCTGATGGGGTCCCACACACCTGACAGCCCCCTCCCCACCATTCCTGGGCCAGACCCAACTCTAATCCCTACACACCAGCCCTGCAGGTCCCCATGCTCCTGTCTCAGGGCTCTGTGTCGGGGGATGAAACCTGTAGACCCTCAGCTTCTGGGCAGCCAGAAAGCTTGCAGATGGCCTCCAGGTGACCCTGGTCTGTCCCTCTCCCTGAGTCCTGAGCACCGCAATCACAGTCACAGCAGCTCCTGTCACACTGCGGCCACACTGCTGCCAGAGACAGCCGTGAGGCCAGCATCCCTCCCCCATCATCCCCTGCACAGACAGGCCCACGTGCGTCCCCAGGCGCCTGAATCACTGCTGACGGCTTGGGACCTGGTGGCAGTGGGCTCCTGGGGAGCCACTGAGGAGGGGGTTGGTGGCCACGTTGTCTCAGAGGGAACACCTGCAGACATAAATAGGCAGACAGCGAAGGCAACACAGCACAGCCCACAGAGCAGAACCGCACGCTGTGCCCACCTGCGCCAGGATGCCCGACACCATGCTGCCTGCCTGCTTCTTCAGCCTGCTGGCCTTCACTTCTGCTTGCTACTTCCAGAACTGCCCGAGGGGTGGCAAGAGGGCCATGTCTGACCTGGAGCTGAGACAGGTATGACCGTGGCCCATCTCAGGGCTGCCAGGAAGGGGCAGAGCCCCAGGGCTGGCACCGCAGTGCAGGGGCTGGGAAAGGGGGAAGTCGTGGGACAGGCAGACTTTAGGGGAATGCCAAGCAGAAGAGAGGTTTGGTGAGGCTGGGCAGAGGAGACCAGGCTGCCAGGCAAGTCAGGACAGGCTGCAGGGCTTCCTGGACACTGTCTCCATCCAGACAAG